TGATTGACATGAGTCATTCAAACTTACGAACAGATTCACAAATATACTTGTACAATAATAATGATAGGGAAATGATGGATTGTCTGAAAACATGTTCCGAAATCATTCTGAATAATTAAAATATTAATTTAAATTATAAATTATTAAATTAAATAATTATTTTATAATAAATTTTTAAAAATATTAATATTTTAATATTTCAGATGACGATTTAGACGCGTATTTGGAGGCTGTAGCATTGCTCATAATGATATAATGATTTGTATGACTTGGTACCCTAATCCTACTTTAGTGATGCTTTAGATTATATATGTCGTTTTAGAAAACTTATGTTAAATACACCTACATTCATTAATAATACATCTCATTACCATTTATTTATTTCTTAAATGCTTTTTTTAGGAGGTACCTTTCAAAGTAGAAAAATATACTTATAAAAAGTATTATTTCTTGATAAATATAAATTTGCCTTCCAAAAAGTAATTTCCAAAATTATGTTTTTTCTTAAAAGAACTTTTTGAAGAAAAAAAATTAGCACTCAATCTCAAATCAAAAAAATAAAAATACATTTTCAGAATGTAATTCCTAGAAGAGAAAAAACATACTTCAAAAAAGTATTTTTTAAAAGACAAAAATATACTTTTGATAAAATATGATTCTAAAAAGTATTTTTTGAAAATATAATTTAACAACTAAAAAACACAATTTTAGATCAATAATAACAAAGAGATATTATTTTTAATTAATAATTCTATAAAATCAATGAGTCATACTTTTAGAAATGAAGTCTTCAAAATTTCACAACCTTATATTCAATGTAATATTGAGGATGGGTAAGGTTTAATAAATATTGAAGTTATGAGTACAAAAATATAGAGTTCAAAAAATAATAAAGATGAATAAAAAAAATTGTCTTGATTGGTGGAGAAAAGAAAATTTAAAAAAAAAAAAAACAAAGAAAAATAATTAGAGAAGGATACAGTGGCATAAAAAAAAAAAAAAGAGTGATGGAAGATGGAGTGAATGAAAAAGATAATTTTTATAAATAAAATTTATTTTAAAAATATTTAATTTTTTAAAAAATAAAATAAACAAAGAAAGTGTATCTATTAAAAATGAAAGGTATATATAACAATTGCCGTTTTAGAGGTGTTACATTATATAGCAACGATATCATACTTGTGGCCCATCACCTCAAATCCTAAATGGCCCAAATCCTAAAAGGCTCAAATCCTAATAATTACAAAATTTTTAAATATGTAAAATATAAAAAAAAATTAAAAATGGTTACATATACGTAATTATTTAAATAAATTTATTTTCACATAAAGTAAGAAAAGGTAAAAAGGTAATTATTTAAATAATTTATTTTTACATAAATATTTAATTTCATAAAATACAATTCAAAAATTTCAATTTCTCACTTAATTCTACTTTATAAAACAATTGCAACTTTAGCTCTATTTTCTATCTATTTTTAATCAAATCATTTATCACCTATTATCTTTCTTCTACTCTTTTTTTTTTCTTTAAATCTTTCCCTCTCAATAAAAAACCATGAGAGTTAAGGAATGTTCATGGTTAAACACCTACATTAATAATAAAAACAAGGCTAAAAACCTAATTTTTGTTTCAATTTAGTCTCACTTTAATTTTTTGTTTCAATTTGATCCCTAATAATTTAAATTATTGCAATGTCGAACTTCCATGCAAATTATTTAGACGGAGTTAACTATTGGTCACATGGATGCCACGTAGATGCATTCATGGTGTGTAAATTTAATGTCACGTGGAACGGCCTGTTCTGGTTGCACTCATGGTGTGTAAAATTTACATTTGGAACGGCCCATTCCAGATGTATTATTTAACACCAATGAGTGCATCAGAACGGACCATTCTAGTTCCCAAAACTGGCTGTTCTGGATTCAGAACGGGTCGTTCCAGAACGCCAACCACTCAACACAATGCAACAATGTGGTTCAAAGATTGAAAATAAAACATTTACACATACACAATTTTTTTTATCTAAAAAATAATATATTTTAAAGAATAAAAATAATATTCTAATATATATATATATTTAAATTATCGTATGTATAAAAAATAAATTTTTAGGAGTTATTCATTTATCTGATATTTGTCAAACTTTTGTGTTTTCTATTTATTGTACATGTTGATAAAAAAAATTAAAATTGTAAAAATTTATATTACATATTAAAAACATCTTTATATGATAAATAAATTAAACTTGATTTTTATAAGATTTAACATGTTTTTTTATGATTTTATTAGTGTTAAATTAATATTAAGTAGGTTTTTAAGATTGTAGTTATAACCAAACATTTTAACAAATGTCTATGACAGATAAATATATCATATTTATAAAATGTATTTTTAATGAAAATTAGGTTTAAATTTGTTAAATTATAATAAACATAATCTGACCTAGTTTATTTTCATCTTTAATCGTAGATATAAAAACTTATAAAAAATAACTATAATATATATTTATACTTTTAAAAATTATATGTAAAAATTTTAATATTACAAATATATGAATAAGTATTGCCCCCACGATCTAAAATTTATGGATCCGTCACTGACTATAATCATCGACCGTTTGTGTTTGGCATTCTAGAATTAGAACGGCCCGTTCTGAAACTAGAATGGCCCGTTCTGGTTGCACTCTTAGTGTGTTAATTTTGCAACCATAATGGTCCGTTCCAGATGCAAAATTAACACACCAATAGTGTAACCAGAACAGGTCGTTCTGATTCCAGATGCATTAAAAAAATTTTGCATCCACCTATGCATCCACGTGGCCAACAGTTAACTCTGTCTAAATAATTTGGACGGAAGTCTGACATTGCAATAATTTAAATTATTAGGGACCAAATTGAAACCAAAAATTAAAGTGGGACTAAATTGAAACAAAAAAATATTATAAGGGACCAAATTAGGATTTTAGTCTAAAAACAAATATCAAGTACAGCTAGATTTATAATACATAGTAATAAGAATAATAGTTAATCACCTATACACTGCTAATGTAAAGTTTTTTTAAACTGGCAACCAATTATATTTTTTAATTGTGCTATGTCACTATAAACACATTTACTTGTAACAGTGACATAACACAATTAAAAGATATAATTAGTTGTCAGTGTAAAAAAAATTTACACGGACAGTATATAGGTGATTAACTCTAATAATAAAACTTTGACATAGTGAGAATCTTAGAAGAAAATCACATTTGAAATATAAATTCAACTCACAATTTAACTTTACTATAATTTAAATGTTATTGAGAAGTCAATAATGATCGCATTAGAGGTGAATATTTATATCAGAGAAAACCCGTCTCCGACCCCAAGCTCTGGTATTAAATTTTCCTTTCAAAAGATAGATGAGAGTGGATATATAAGTGTGCATGTAATTTTATTTTTCTTTGTTTTTGTATGATAGAACTTATTAAGAAAATACATTTTCATTTCTTATTTTTATTTTCTGTTTTTTTACTTTTAAATTATAAAACTGCAAGCTGGTTTTCATTTTTTTTAAGTATGCAACTTTTTTTTTCAGAAGCACTATTTTATTTTATTTTTTCTGTTTTCTATACAGTATTTGAAAATAAGAAACAAATTGAAAATTAAGAGATAATTTTGTGATTAAAAAGATGAAAAAATAAATGAAAATAAGAAACAAAAACAAAAGTAAGGTAAAATTACTTGTACTTTCATTTCCTAATTTTATTTCCTATTATCACTTTTAATTTATAGAACGGTTACCTTGTTTTCGATTTATTCCTTGTTTTCAAATATTTGTAGAAGAAAAATTAAAACCAACATTTTCTTTTTGCTTTCTCTATTTCATGTACAAATCTTTAAAAACAAGAAACAGATTAAAAGTAATATTACAATTTTGTAAATTTAAAAATGAAAATAGAAAATAAAAAAAATATATATTTTAATAAAATTCAAAATTAGACTAGTGGCTCGCAAAATGTATCCGATCAAATAAAGTTGATTCTAATAACTTTCAATGCATGGAATATGCATATTCCTCAACGTTTAAGGTTGTCCAAGTACATGAAGTCAACTAAGGAATATATGTCCTCTGGACCCAACCATTGTTATGTATATATATATGGTCCAGCCATGACTATAAGATTCAATTTCTTTTTTATACTTAAATTAAATAGACGGTATATATATACTTATATAGTTTCACCATTTTGTATAAGAATGCTACGAAGGACTTAGATGATAAAAAGAGAGAAGAAGAAAAAAAGTTAATCTTAGTGTAAATTTTTTATATATTAGCAACTAATCATATCTTTTAATAATTTCATGTTATTTACTTATTTAATTAAATAAAAATAAAATAAAATAATTTAAAAAATATGATTAGTTGTAAAAAACTTTATTCTTATAATATATAGATGATTAATTAAAAAACCAAATCCTATAATTATATACCCAAAGATGAATAAGAACTAGTGCTGTGTTCAAACGTGTAAACCTTATACCCACAGTATTTTTACACCTTAATTGCTGTGGACGGTCGAAGATTCCTCATACTCAAACAACAAGTTGAATTATTATCATATAATATTATAATATCTCGTATTTATCTTAATTAGGATGAGTACACTGTCAATTTATCAAGGTGTATAAAATGGTCAAAAGTCAAAATTAATTAACACCTATACATAGTATATATTACAGTATTATTATTTCCGTGACATATGGCTCACACCGCCCAAGGGTTTAGACAAATCATCAAATGATGACGTTTTAAGAACAAAGTCAATTTAAGGTTGTAGTGTGTTTCGGGCACTGCAACTTTTAAAATAATAAAATTTTAGTAAGTTACGTTGATAGTTATATATACAAATTTAGAACTTTCAATGTAGTTACAGAACTCTCTCAACAAGCCCAGTTAACGTTTCGGATTTTCTTGAGAGAAAGTCTAATAAGAAGGTAAAGAGTGACTAATTGCATAACTATTGAAGCTCCATGTTCTATCAATGTATTACTATTCATAGTTCCGTACATGTATATAGAGAATTATAGATGATATATCATATTTACAATAAAGCACAAAATGTAAGAAAAAATGGTAGCATAGCATGATGATGAGGTAGTGAAGTGTGAAACAAAATTAATTAACGATGATGATCACAAAGTTGTGAGCAGCATCATGTCCTTAAACTCGTGAAAATCAAGCTTGCCATCAAAATTAGTGTCGTAGGAGCAAATCATGGTGGTGCAATCCTTGCCACAGAGTTCGTCCAACATGCCAAGCCTCTTCAACACACACTCAAGCTCTTGGCTTGTGATGAATCCATCCCCATCCATATCAAACACTTTGAAAGCCTCCACAAGGTCCTCATCACCACCCCCATTATCCCCCTCTTCCTCCTCTTCCTCATTCCCCTGCTTCAACATGGATTCATAAAACAACAAAAACTCACTGAAGTCAAGCCTCTTCTTTCCCACAAGAGACTCCAATTCTTCCACGCTCAAATTGAACCCTGTTTTCTCTAGCAGCAAGTGAAGCTCCTCAAGGCTCAAAAACCCATCACCATTCATGTCAACCTTCTCAAAAATCCGCTTCAAGTCGCTGTGTGTTAGGGGACACATTTCGTACATACAAAACTCAAGAATATCAATGCAATCAACTCTTCTTTATACTTTTCAGTCAAACCTCTCTCAACACTTGAATGTTGTGCAACACATCAGGTGTTTATATACATGCACAACATATATGTGGGCACAATTTTCTCTTACGAAATTGTCCTACAATAATCCATTGAGACTTACACTTACCATATTGAATTATTGATGATGTGTGGATGAGAATGATCCAAGTCTACAAGGGAATTGGAACTTGGAAGGAAGTTTCACAGCCTTTGCCTTGAAAGCAACTTTCGATTATTCCAAGTGGATATTTATGAGTCGAATTTTCTAGTCTATGATATTTTTTTTCTTCTAATAATTGTACATAGGGTCTTTAATTTTTATGGTCAAGTAATTTCGTACTGTGTACAATTATAGTGTCGTTTTGTACATATGTATGTATGTTTTGTACATATGTATGTATGTAGAATAGTTTTTTCTCTGTTGGGTCACTTTCGAGAAGATTTTTGGTCTGTGGGTTGTGCAAATATGAGAATAAAATTTCCAAAGTGCATTCAAATGCGTGTGTGGTGCACTTGTTTTGGACTTATCTAGAGAGGGACACGTGTCGGATAGACGTGGAGACTTCTGGAGACAGACGTTAACATTACTATGAGTCTATGCCCCTATATACCCAATACTGTGTGCTATTTCATTTATTGTTTGTGTTCAAAAATTATTATTTTGTAGAATATTAATAATGTAAAAACGTTTCATATCATAATTTAATTTTACATTGTTATATACTTATGAGATTATTTTGACATTATAAAGAAGCAAGAAAATATAAAGAAATAAACAGAAATGATAATAATAATAAAAAGTTAAAAAAGAGAAAGAATGACTAGAGAGAGGTGTACAAGAGCATAATAGAAGATAATGCAAGTCAAATTATAATTAATTAAAGTTTTTTTAATTAATTGATAGTGTACAAATGTCTCAAAATTAAACCCTTATAACCAAGTAAAAAAGAAGCTAATCTCATGCTTCTTACATTCGTGCCTTAGGCTCAGATGTATGGATACATTAAATCTTGTAAAAAAAAAAACATCTCATTCATTGTAATTGAATCCCTAGCCTACCAAATTCATGCATATTCTCTCATCAACCATTAAATCCTCTAAAGGTTTTGACATAATTCCTTCCTCTTCACTCATTCACAAGTTGACAAGCAAAATATTGAAAGGAGTATATTGTTAGGGTTTAATGACAAATTCACGAAGAACACAAACTATGCAATGATAAATAGAGAAGGAAAATTTAGGATCAAGGCACAAAATATAAAGAGAGGGTTGACCAACAATCATTATGCATGCATTAAGAGACAAACAATAAAGGTCGATCACAAAAACAAGGGCTGTAACTTTTGGTTCTTTCATCTCGTGTAATTTCCAATTAGAATTCGTAAACCCATTCCCTCTCAATGAATTTTGGTTTTATAATCCTATATGCTATGTTTATTGACTTGTAATCGATGTAGGTAGAAAGAAAACGGATTTGAGAAAATTTTGAAATTTAAATTAAAAAATATAAAAAAAAATGTTAAGTATAGTTGGATAAAAAAAAATACTTTCTCTTTAATTAAATAAAAAATTATATTATTTTTTTTCATGTCTATTTAATTTATTTTTAATTGTTAGAAATAAGTTTGTATCACGATATAAATTATTTAAGTAAATCTAAAATATAATTTATTTAATTAAGCATTTGTTAACTTCCAGTGAGCCACGCGGGTTCAAGACTAATGGTTCTGATTATGGGCTCATATGGCATTGGGCTATCATTCGAAGTTGGGTCAGCGTTTGTCTTTAAGCCATGTTGGGACAGTATCTAACTTAGGTAGCTTATGATATATACATCTTTTTTTTTTTTTTTTTTTTTATAAGTACACCTCTTTTTTAAAAAAAATTATAAAATATTATACTTTTTTTAAAAAAATTTAATTTTACATTTTTAACTTTCAATTTGCTACTTTCTTCTTCTTATTTTGGGTTTTTCTTTAAAGCGCAGATACTGTTGTATATTAGAGCATTCACTTTTCTTAACTTTCTATACATATGACAACCTAATTGTACACACCCAATTTCGCCCGGGGGCAAACAAATAACAAGATAGGACATTAGAGGGCCCAAAAGCCTAAATTAACTTTTTTAGTGGTCCGGAACGGGCCATTCCAAAATTAGAACGGGTCGTTCCCAAGTTCAGAATGGGACATTCTCTGATCAGAACGGGCCATTCCGAGGCTTCTAAAAGACCTAAAAAATGTAAGTTGGAACGGGCCATTCTAGACCAGAACGGGTCATTCCAAACCAATTAAAGGGGCTAAATTTTGTACCCCGGAACGGGCCGTTCTCACTTCAGAACGGGCCGTTCTGATTTCAGAAAAGGCCGTTCTGATTTCAGAACGGGCCATTCCAGGGTAGGAAAATGCTACATAACATTCGGATTCGGAACGGGCCGTTCCGAATCCAGAACGGGCCATTTCGGCCTACGTCTGATGCCTATAAATAAGAAATCTCAGGCACAGTTCAACAGACCCCGAAAATTTCGTCCAGCACTCTCTAGAGCTCGAAATTTCTCTATTTTTCTCTCTCTCTCCTATTGTATTTCTTGAGTATTGTGAGGCATTTATGTAGTGTGAAAGGTTGCCATAAAGCACCTACAATTTCCATATTGGAAGATCTAACAAAGCTTGCTACGAGGTATTTTAATCAATTTTCTTCTCTCTCTTTTATTTCTTATATTTGATAAATATTGTTTATAATAAGAGCAATCATGTAGATATTTTAGAGTCAATTGTTTAATTTAAATTTTAAATCATGTAAATAATCATCAATAAAAGGGGATATAATATTTAATTTATTATTTCTTATCGCATTAACTTCATCATAGGGTACCGATTTAGGGCGTTGTAAGGGTGCTTAATACCTTCCTTACACGTAACCGACCCCCGAACCCAATTCTGGTTATCAAGGCCATTATTGGATCTTT